ACCAAAGGGTCATTATGATCTCCCCCCGTCCTGGGCAGATCCCTATCAGTGAAAGTGATAGGTTCCCTCCTTGCCTGCTTCCCATGTGACTCCAGGGAAACCACCGCCACGTGCAAACTCCTGGCCCAGTTCTTCCGCTGGGAGGCAGTATCCCCGCCTTCTGGGCCGCCGACAATCATCTGTATAAATTCTTTATCCGGATTGTTGTTATCCTTCCCGGATTTTCTCCTTCCCTGGTCTTTTCCCTGATGACGGGTCCAGGTGTTCGCTTTCGGGTCTTTCTTATTACCCGTCGCGTAACCTTCCCCAAGCTCTCCTTTCAAGGCCATCTCCTTGAGCACAGCCTTGACATTTCGGCAATCCGCCGTGTTGTGGGAGTCAGATTGGTGGTAGGTACACCACTTCTCCGTCCAAGGCCTCTTGGGTTGTTCTCCCTTCTTATCATTCCTTATTTGATGGACAGACCCGTCATACGCAGCCTTTAGTTTGGACCCTCCCATCTGGTCGTCCTTCTTTAGCTTGTCGGATTTCGGCTTTGTGTAGCCTTCCTCCAGCTCCCGCTTATTCTTGTTCAGCACTTTTGCCTCGGCATATTCCCATGCCGTATTGTAGGCTTCCTGATAAGAGGAAGGCGGCCTCCTACAGAATTCAGTGTAGAGGTCACCTGACCGAAAGGCATTCATCAACAAAGACATGGCCGTCTTATCGTCCATTTCTTCTACCTTGTCAACCTCATCCCTCCAGCGGGTTAAGAATTGAGTCAAGGTTTCTTTCTCCCTCTGCCCTACCGTGTTAAGGTAGGTAAACTTCTTCCTCTTGATGCATTTGTCCTGGTACTTCTTGCGGAAAACCTCAGCAAGTTTTTCAAAGGACCCTATCCTGCCATGGGGACGGCCGTTAAACCATTCCACTGGCCTCCCTCTCAAGGATGAGAAGAAGAGCAGGCATTCCTGAACATCAGTGCACCCGACCATCTGTGCTGCATTGTGGAAGGTGTCAAGGTGGACGTTTGGATCCTCCTTTCCAGTGAATTTTTCCACGTCCAGCTTGACCTTACGCCTCAATTTTTGTGCATGTACCCTGGCCGAAAAGGGTGATTTGGCCAGGGTGTGCTTCTTTGCTCCCGCCTTCTCGTCCACCTTTTCTTCCAGGGCACGCAGCTTTCTTGCTACGCTTCCTATCTTGTCCAGATCATCCTCATCATATGAGAGCCTGGTATATGCCGACGCCCTAGGCTGGCTTTCTGCTTCCTCCTCGTCTTGGTGAATCGTCTCAGATTCCCTAAAACGACGAGATTGGGCGTGACGACCCCCGCCAAGTCTTTCCATTGCGCTAGTCCTGCCCATCTCAGGACCAAGACGTAGCTTGGCAGACTTGCGGGGTCCATCCTCTTTGCCCCTAGGCGTTTGAATGCCGAATCTCGAGTCTTGCTGGGTTCGGCTATAGCCTTACCCTTCTTCCTGCGGGCCGCCTCTTGCTCCGCCTCATCGACCTCATGGACATTTGAGGGTGCTGCTTCATTCATGGTCCCCGTCAGATTCATCGGATGTATAGGGACCATCCTAGGGACAAATGTTGACGGGGTCGACACCAGAGGTGGCATAATTGGCGGCGTCATACCAGGATAGGCAAATGGCATGAAGCCACCTGCCTGTTGCATCATGGCCATCACCTGTTGATAGCCCTGTAGAGCCTGAGCATTTGCCGGGTCAGCAGCAAATTGAGCCCGAGCTGACGGGTATGGTGTGAATGCTCCACCAGGGGTTGTTATCGAGCCTGGGAACATTGTTGTCGTCGGCGTAGGAGTAGGGGTTGACATGATTGGGATCATGCCAATTGATCCTACAGTGGTGATCGGAGCAAAGGTTGTCCCCATGCTCGACATCATCAATGGGATGGCAGGAGTGCTTTCACTCGCAGCCTGACTTGACACAGCGTTGTAGTTGCTCGAAGACATGATTGTGGATATTTAGTGGGGGTAAAGTTTTGACCTGGTCGAAAAAACCTTAAAAATTGGTCCCACGGTGGGCGCCAAAAATGATGGTGTAAATATAGCTGGGTGGGTTAACCGGGTTTGACCTGGACACACTCGACCCGTAATATAAAACACACACAAAGTATGACTTAGACCGGGTAAATCTCCTCAGTCCGAATTATATTTCTTACTCTATCTCAAGAGTGAACTTTAGTGAGAGAAAAAATTGGATCCCCTCCTCTATCCAATATCATCATATTTACAGAGGAGGATTTGTGACCTTCCCCTGTTCATC